CAGAGCTTTCTGCTGGGTTGGACAAGCTTTGTTGAGCCTGCATGGAGTTCTATTTTCCCTCTTCCCAGTGCTGTTTCCTCCCCTTTCCTTTTATAGAAATTGTTCCTTGTTAAACATCTCACACAGACTCCAAACTCTGCTTCAGCATGTGCTTCTGGATATTCAGCCTATGACCGACAATGTTTCAATCTGACATTTGAGGGCTCAAATGACTGGCCCGGATTGTGCAGCTCAGGAGTTCCAGCAAGACTGATGATTATGGAAAATCCTTATTGAGAGTTTATTATGTCCCGGGCACTGTTGTAAGCACTTTACGTATATAAACTACTTTAATATTCACAACAACTCTATGAGGGACATACTTTTTAAACCTCTTTTTACAGACAGTTCAAGTAACATGCCCAGGTCTCACAGATAGCAAGTGGCAGATCTGGGAATAAAACCCAGGCAGTCTGGTTCCAGACTCACGATTATACTCAAGAATCAGTCTCAATTCTAGCACTAGGAGTTTGCACCAAGAGTTCAATCTGATAGGCAGACATATCACTTTTGTTCAGTGGTAGTAACTGAGATGAAAAGCAGTAAAAAGAGATGGGTGTGATAGAATACTGTTCCTGGAAGGTAAGACAGAGTATTGCAGAGTCAAAATTTCAGATTAATTTACGAGTCAAATGTAATCATAATGAATATACCAATGGGATATTTTGAACATTGGCAAATGACTCAAAAGTTCGTCAGGAAGAATAAATGAATGGTAAAACTGAAGGAAAAGTTGGTGAGGAAAAATGAGAGAGGGGAGTATAGATACACTATTTGAACTAGAGACTAGAGAGCTAGCCCAGAAATATTCACTACTACTGTATTTAAAAGAAGAGCATATATAGTTAGGCAATTGTATAAAAAAGAAAAAGGAATAAATATTAATAATAGCTAAAAGGGAAGGATTATTTAAAATGCTAATTTAATCAGCTATTTGTAAATATAATAACTTTCAGCCTTACCGTACATCATACACCAAAATAAACTGCAGATGGATTGAAAAGTTAAATTTCACTTATGAAATTATTAAGCAAATCTAAAAGAAAGATATGTAAGTGTTTTCTGAACTAAAGATGGCAATTATAAGGGGAACAACAACAACGGAAAAGAAGGAGACATGTAACTAAATAAACATTTTGATACTTCCCTATCCAAAAAATCCTACCACATAGCTAAATAGTAAACTGGGAATGAAAATGTTGCTGCATATAGAACCATCAAATTGTTTGTGACCTTACTCTAAAAAGAAATATAAAAACTGTTAGGATTAAGAAAAATAATTAAATTAAAACATCTGTTACATTTCCTTGACCTGTTTAATAAATTAGCTGAGACACCTTATATAGTAAGATAGCCCCCAGAAAGAGTGTAGTGACGCAGGCACTCCCATACGAGGCCGACCAGAATGCAAAGTATTTCTAAGCTTTCACCGAAAGCGTTTGGTTCTTTATAGCGAAACTTTAAATAGATTCTTGCCTTTTACCTCATTAATTCCACTTTTATAAATATAACCTAAGAAAATCATACACTCATACAAGGAAATTTAGGGGAACAAAACTAAATGTAAGCAAAATCCTAAGTATATTACATAGAACTCATATGATGAAATATTATGTAGTCCTTAAAAATTAAGTTTTTAAAAGCTATTTATTCATTTAATCACCATCATGTTTTAATTACTATTTGCCAGGCTCTGATCTAAGTGCCTGTCATTTATCAGCTTATTCAATCCTCCAACAATCTAATGAGATCAGTCCTATGTTTAGCATCTCTTTTAAGATGAGAAAACTGAGACACAAAAAGTTTAATTTGATGTACAAAAATACATAGATGATAAAAGAGAGAACAGGATTCAAACTGAGGCACTCTGACCTCATCCCTCCCTCCCACTTGTTCCTTACCAATACTTTATAAAGTACTCCCATAACAAGAAAGAAGGTACACCAATTTTAAATGACAAAAATCTAGAACTTTAATCAGCAAGTAACAATTTAGTAAAATACATACAACAAAAGAATGAAAGGAAAAAATTATAGGTGATTTTTGCTTCTTTCTAAATTTCTGAATTTTCTCAGATTGTATAATGAACTTGGTGGAGTCTGATAGATTAGCTTTAGCTTTTACATTTTGGTTAGGCTTTATAGATTAAGCAATTTAAGATTATTTCTGAAAAGAATGAAAGTGTTTCTGAATTTGCACTTAGCATTATTCTCAACAATAATGCCACCTAGAGGAGCCAAGTTGTTTTAGAACTTCTTAATTCAATGAATTTAAGTTTCCAGTTTTGTTATAAATCTTTCCACAGCGATAAATCAAATAACAATAAAGCATGTTTAAGCAAGCTAGAAAGTGAATTATATATTTTATCCCTCCTTTAATGTGGAAATATGTATACGTATACACTCACCTCAAGAATATGAGCTCCAGATTTCCAGCAACATGGCGCTCTAAGCAAAAGCACCGTGCCGTCCCCCCACAGCAAAGATCTGAAAAACTAAGCCAAACAGAGAAAACAGCAATCCTGAAACCCTAAACATCAAATGAAGAGATAAAGAACTCAGCCAAGCACCAAATGGAATAAGAAACTGACAGAGAACAGAGAGCGAGGAGACATACATGCAGAGGTCCCCTATCAGCTAACGCAGCACAGATCTGCCATCTTGGACTCCTATCAGAGACCAGCGAACAGGGGGTACGAGAAAGCAGCTTCACAGAGCTTCCAGCAGGAGATGGAACAACAATTAATGGCGTAGTCGTCAAGGATCTGAAGGTCGAATCCAGTCAACTTTGAGGAGACCTGGACTGTGGAGCAGAAGCTGGCAAAGAAAGGTTCTATCTTCTGGACCCACATGTTCCCACTCCATGTCCCTTCAACACTGACCGGCAGTGAATGGCTCAACCATTCAACTGGTGATACAAACCAGAAACTTGGGAGCTATTCCTGACTTGTTCCTCTTCCTTACCCTCATAGCTAATCTAATTGGTTATACAAATGTTCAGTTCAGAAACTGGTGGTAGTCATCTCAGATATTGAAAGTGGTGAGGTCCTTGAAAGATGGCAATTTGATATTGAGTGTGACAAGACTGCAAAAGATGACAGTGCACCCAGAGAAAATTCTCAGAAAGCTATCCAAGATGAAACTGTTCAGTGATCAGACAGATCACAGCTACAATAACATTTATGCCACTACTGGAAGTTTCTTGTTCATTTGAGCTACTGATTTATACAGATAAAGATTTGGTTGTACCTGAAAAATGGGAAGAATCAGGGCCACAATTCATTACAAATTCTGAGGAAGTCTGTCTTCGTTCATTCACTACTACAATCCTCAAAGTACATAGCATGGTGGCCTACAAAATTCCTGTCAATGACTGAAGGATGAGCTGAGAAAAATAATATACTTGAAATTCTCAAATGTGTTTTCCTGAAATGTAGTCAACTATAAGTTGATATGTTTTATTGCATTGATTAATTTTTCGATGTGAGAAACAACATTACACTCTGCTGAACTGTGCATAATCCATTTTTTGTACGTGTTTAATGTTCCATGGAGTTGACATCTTGAATTAGAGGAGATTATGGTATTATCCCCTTGTTAATATATTCAGCTAAATAGATTAGCACAAAAGAATATTGCACATTGTTCAAAAGGGAACCAGCAGATTTCATCAGCATTGTAATGTCAATTCCTTTGAAGGTGGCAACTGTAGTTGGAAAAACTTTTACTATAAAGCTAAATACCTTCCTAAATCAGATATTTTGGTCAAGTAGCTTAAGTCAGTATATAGGTAGGGTGACATTTAATAGTAAATTACAGCAAAAGAAGTCTGAATATTCAGAATCTTTGTTTAGATCCTGAAAATAACTAATATAATCCATAAGTAATGAAATATTGCAGTCCTTCCACCATTTATTTAGATGTATAGTTCTCCTGTTGAAAAAATTTCCAATTATTTGATTTTAATTTATACAACTTGTACCTATGAAGCATGAATGTTTCTACTGTTTAATTTCCTGTGATAAAGAACTCTTTGAAAATGTCTTTTTATGTTTGATATAGTGAAGCTTTAAATGACAATGGTGAAATAAAGTTAAATTTGTATTTTTTTTTAAAAAAAGAATATGAGCTCTTTGAAATTGTTTCGATGTTTCAAAATTCATCTGTATTTATATGTAAGGTCACATTTTTTTATTCAAACAATATACACAACATATTTTCCTTACTGTTATTATATCGCTAATCCTCACTGCAAATCTGTATATTTTCACATTCTATTTTAATCATTTCTCGTTTTCTATTTTACTTCTGGGCAGAGTAAAAATGTCCCATTTCAAAAAGACTCTGTTAAAGTTTCCAAGTAGAAATGTCAGGTTCCACTTCTTTAGCCTCTTCCTCTTTCTCACTGTAAGCATTTGTCTTTATTTATGTTATCAATATGAACTGCTCCTAAAGTCTGGAGTACAAACGCAACCTACGTCTATTATTCTTTCCTACTAATTGCTCAAGCGTCCATCTACCTCATAAACAGAATGTTGAATATATTTTTGAGGCTTCTTGTCTCTAACAATTGTCTAAGATCCAGTGCAAAGTGTAGTAGTCTTCCTCTGATTTTAAGAGTTTACTGGAGTTTGGTCAGTCCAAAACTACTTTTGTTTCTCAGTGCTACATTATGTTGAATTTTCAACTTTATCTCCAACCATGTCTCCTCAGAAATTGTGTCAAGATGATGTCCTACCACAGGTGACTCTAAGACACCTACTCAAAGTTTTTCTTTTTTTAATCCTTTTTATAACATGGGCTTCCAAGGACAGGATGGTATGTCCCAAGTAAGTGCAGCTTAAGGTCTCTATGCTCACAAGACACAAGCGAGACAATAAAGGAAATTTTGTAGAGTATATGCATCATCTCAGATGGTGTATCATATTAAAAATTGATTGAACTGATTACATTTATAATTCTTTCACCCTACTATGGTGGCCTTGTCCCTGCATGGTGCAATCAGTTAAGTGCTCAACTACTAAAGGAAAGTTTGGCTTCAAATCCACCCAGAAACGCTTCAGAAGAAAGGCCTAGTGATCTGCTTCCGAAAGGTCATAGCTTTGAAAATCCTGTGGAGCACGGTTCTACTCTGCACACATTGGGTCACCATGAGTTGGAGTCCACTTGACGCCAACTGGTAATGTTGGCCTTATGTGAATATATGGTTAATAGCACAAATCCTCTGATTTGGAGAAGGAATGGAGAAAGGCAAGCCATGAGCCTGTCCTAGAGTGTGGAGGATGTCGGCAACATGTATTTTCCCAGGACCCTCCTCAGGGCCCACAGGACCTCCTTATTCCTCAAGCTGTAGATGAGAGGGTTCAGGGCTGGAGTGATGATTGTGTAGAAAACAGAGATGATGTTGTCCTGCTTGGGGCTGTGGAAGGAACTGGGCAAGACGTACATGAATGTGGCAGCTCCGTAGAACATCCCAACCACAGTAAGGTGGGAAGAGCATGTGACGAGGGCTTTCTGCCTTCCCTCCTTTGAGGGCACGTAGAGTACGGTAAATAAGATTAATATATAGGAAGCAACAATGACAGAGAGAGGGAGCAAGAGGAAAGTCACACCTGTCACATACACCATGAGCTCATATCTGGAAGTATCAGCACAGGCCAACTTCAGCAGAGGTGGGATCTCACAGAGCAGGTGCCTTATTTCCCTGGACATGCAGAAAGGGAAGTGTATGGTATACAAGGTGTGTCCTAGAGCACTCAGGGATGCCAGGATCCAGGAAGTGACCACCATGAGCCAGCAGACCCTCGGCCTCATGAGGACCATGTAGCTCAAAGGATGACAAATGGCCACATACCTGTCGTAGGCCATGAAGGCCAGTAGGAGGTCTTCTGCACCACCCAATGTCAGTGCCAGGAACATCTGAAGGGCACAGCCTCCAAAGGAGATGGTGTTTTCTTGGTGCAGAAAATCCACAAGGGCCTTGGGAGTGACAACAGATGTGAAGAGGAGGTCCATGAGTGAGAGCTGCCGGAGCAGGAGGTACATGGGCACATTCAGCCTGACATCCATTGTGATGACCAGGAGCAAAAGGCCATTGCTAGTCAAGGCCAACATGTATAGGACTGCAACTGTGGCACAGAGCAGTTTAGGAGACCCACTGTCATTCAGAATGCCCATCAAGATGAAGTCATTTCCCAAGGAGGAGTTCCAGAGCTCCATTCTGTGTTGTTTTTTATTTGCCAAGATCTAGATGAATTCTCAGTGAAAGCTTTGCTATGGTGTGCAACTTAGCTTTGTATTGTTCCAGGTGACTGCGAGATGGCCATTTGGAACCTTATGGAATGATATCTTTTCCTCTTGGCAGCTAAGTTTGCTCTTCTGATTTCTGAATTTTTTAATTGAATTATGAAAAAAGCACCAGATAAGTGGAGAACAAGTATATTGGTAGTAACAAATCATTTAGAAATCTCTTTTAATAAGGTATCCAAGAGAATAAGCCCAAGCAAACATCTTTGTAGATAGATAAGGTTCTCTCTCTTTATGGTAACAAAATGTACTGGGCATTTGTTTAAAATCCAAGTGGTTCTCTGCTTGAAACATACTTGGAATTGCGATTTAAAAATTGTTTCAAAAATGTTATTTACAATGTAGCTCTTTGACATCTTCTTTCCTAGTTGTTATGTCTGTCTTTCATGGCTCATTGTTGTTGACAACTTCCTCAAGAAAGGAGCCTGTTGGCTCTTGGACCACTTGTTCTTTTGCACTCTTGTACTTTCCTTGCATTCTTGATGACCATACCATTATTCTGTTGGAGTGAAAGTAAATTCTGGGCTGCACTGTATGGTTGGTGGGCATGGATTTTGGAGGTAAATCTGCAGGAACAGTACAAAAGGTGTTTGCATATTTACAGATAATAATAACATGTTTGTTTGGAAGGAGACATGGAAAAGTTAATAGGTAAAATTTGCAAAAGCATGGCAAAGTGTTTGTGTTTAGGACATAGGATAAAAGGAGTGAGCTACAAAAGAAGAAAAGGTAATCCAAAGCTACTTTGTCACCTGAGAGTCACAGTAAAGTTCTGAACATGGATAGCAGATACTTCTATCTCACAAACGTAAGCAATACCAGGAAGGATACTGTCCTGCTGAATCCTAAATTCATGTGATAGTACTGGGGGAGGGGAGTTGAGGGTGAAGAGTAAGTGGAGACGTGAGGTTTGTGGAGCAGCATTTACTTAGCTTGCTCTTTGTGAATGAGAATCTTTCACAGCTGGATGGGGAGCTTAGGAAACATTCTGGAGAAGAGAATTCTTCATCTGTCCTTTGTATCATCTGCATCACTTCCTCCAATATTCTGTTTATGTCACCACCCTGGCCATCTCAGAGCTGGAATATTTAATTAGTAGGATCATAAAATCCTGAAGTTGGAAAGGCTATCTGATTCAGCTGCACTGTCATTCATTCAAAAACGTTTACTAACATTTACTAAACATTCATTCATAACCATTTACTACCTGGTCTAGGGTTATTTCATAGATGTGAAAAATTCATCACACAAGTAACTACATACATCTAGTGGTGATTATTGATATATAAAGAACAATATAACAAACTAGGAGTCGATATAACTGAAATTTTAGGAAAGAGTTCTGCAAGTGACAAAAAAGCTACAGATTGAGGACGAACAGAAGGTAGGTAAGAAGAATCGAGATAATACTAACTGAGAGAGAGATGTGTGAAGATCAGAATATCTGAAGCATAGTACAAGAATCTCCTCCCTGCACTTTTACCACAGTGAAGTCTAGGCAAGAAATGAACCAGAAAAATGTCCTCTTTAAAACTACTTCTCAGCATTCTTTGGGATCTGAGATCTTTGTCTTGCCTCACAAAACCAAAACATTGAATGGCTGTCTATCTTTGCCTATTGACAACAACAAAAAGACAAGTTCAAAGATGGTTCTTAGCTCAGTATTTGGTAAATACTAAACTTAAGATTTTTTTTTTTTCCAATAAAAAGAATGGATGACGGAAGGAAGGAAGATAATTAGCTGGGCACATTTCTCTAGATTTCTGCACCAGAAGTTTGGACAGGATTTCAAACAGCAAAAGATGCAGTACTTAGCTAGTATAATCAGGAATCATGACCTACTCACCTCTTTCCTTCCTCTGATCCAAGGTCCCTGCTTTTCTTCCTTTTCCGTTCTCTGGTTCCTCTCCCCTAGGGCTATCTTAAAAACAGGGTCAATGAACACACACTGGGACCACAAATCTTGTTCTCAGAGTCACAGAGGAAGAGCACCCTTTCTGCAAAGCTGCTGGTGACACATAGGGACCTCAAACCAAGAGAAGTCATCAGAGACTGTGATTAACAGAGGGACATTGTTGACCTTCATGAGAAATGGTCAGACAGAGCCAATTAACAACATGGAACTAAATAATTGAAAACATTTGTATAAGTTATTTCTCTCTATCATTGCTCAAGGAAAATTTCATTGACTTCAATTGGTTTTTTCTGTGGCTATAGGACTTTAGTGTCAAGTAGGCATTTTGGGAAGAGGCACTTCAACTAATTCTAGGTGACCCGCTTTGGGATACTACTCATTTTAGGACACAATCAGACTATCAGAGGCCAGAATAACCCAGATATACCAAAGGTTAAGTGCTGAGCCTTTTATCCAGAGGCCAGCATTAGGAGGTAGAGGAACCCGTCCATACTTTTTCCATGTACAAAGTGCCTAGAAGGGAGTGGGTAAACTGTAAAGCCCAAGGCAGTAGAGAACTGGAGAGGCAGAGGAGTGTAAGGTGTTGACCCTCTTTCTCAACACTTCCCAACTCCAAACAGTTTCTTGAAACAGAGACAGAGCTCTTACCTCAAATTGGGAGGGGTACAGTTGCCAGACCACACTAATGGCCCTGAAGTTCGTATAAGGGACAAAGATATTCAAGAAGGTGGAGAAAGAAGAAGTGCTTCTTCTGGAAGGGTGGGATTTAGGTGTGTGTATGACTGTGCCTGAGATCGGAGGTCAAAGACTCCTCCAATTTTACTAGCGTTGCAAGTCCTCTCTGGGGATGAAGATGGATGCAAACAGGCAGCTGAGAGAACCTAGGGATCCAGTGGAAACAAGGAGCTGTCTCTCCCTTACCTTGTCTCATCTAACTCTCCTTATTGAGAAATCCTTCTCAGCCTTGTAGTTCCTTAGTGTAGGCACTCAAGTTTTCATGTATTTCTGTCCTGCTTGGTATCTGTGATAAAAACTGAACACAGGAGAAATTTTTTGGGAAAAATAAGAAAGAAGCTGCCCAGTGTAGACCCTGTAGTACCCAGCCTCACTGTTCTTGGGGTAGCAAAGAGCCAGGAGTCATGGTCTTAGCCCCTCAGCTGAAATGACCTTCCTTGAAAATACTGCTCCAAGAATCAGCATTTTAATGAGTCCCCTGGGTGTGTTTCCTGGCCTGCCACTCTTGCAAACTTCACCCACTAAATGAGCTCTGAGGCCTTAGGACTTATTTTACCCCGAGTGGACTTGCCGAGGCTGTTTCTAAATCCCTAACGAAATACAAAGTGTCAGTAACTGACCTAAGAAGCCCCTGGCCAGCCCTCTGTCCAAATTATAAAGTATGTTTCATGGGTTCTGTAGAATGCTGCCACCTGACCCGCTTTGGGCCTCTACTCTGGGAGATTACAAACTAGAGGGAATTGGACTCCAGTTTTCTGTAAATATCAGGTCTTCTTTCATTGACCTTGAACTTGCATCCAAACACTGATTTACTAGAACTTCCTATGCTTTTCAGTTCTTTGTTCCTCTTTTCTCCTCCCTTTGATGCACGTGCCTGCTTGTGCATGCATGTATGTATGGGGTGATCCCACTGTCGGTGACCAGTTGGCTCAGCTTCTTGGAGCTCTGATGATGATACAGCATCTGCCTCCACCAATCACTGCTTTAGTTCGAGCCATTCTCGTCTGTCGCCCAGCTATTTGCCATGTCCTCCTCATTTTTCAGTATCTCCTTAATCACTCATTTCTCCAGTAAATGCTGAAAGCTCCTGTGGGAGTTATATCTTTTTACTTTCAATGTTAAAAAAATAAAAAATACAGTTTTCCCTTTTTGATTACAAAAAAGAGAACATGACTGATGTAATTGATTTCCTTGAATTGCACAAGTGACAACTGTTGAATTGGCAAATGTTGTGTTATCTATGTTTTTTATAATAAAAAAGGAATATACCCATGTAGGTTGTTGTACAAGTCCAACCAAAGAAATATAATAAAATATATTTTTATTTTTCTCATTGTAAAAGGAATGTACCCAAAATAAATTTTTGCACATATAAAATGGAAGAGTAGCGCTATGCACAGCTGAACAAAAATGGGAAACAACCATTATGCCATAAACATTAGAATGGATAAAATTCATACATAGGGATATTAGATAGTGATCAACACAAATAAACTAGGGAAACATGCAACAATATAAATAACTCAAACCAAAACCAAACCAATGGCCATTGAGTCGATTCTAACTTATAGCATCCCTGTAGGACAGAATAGAACTACCCCATAGGGTTTCCAAGGCCATGGAACCAGACTGCCACATCTTTCTCCTGTGGAGCAGCAGCTGGTGGGTTTGAACTACTGACCATTTGCTTAGTAGCTGAGCACTTTCACCACAGTACCACCAGGGCTCCATTAATAACGCAGCAATCTAGTATTAAGTGAAAAAAAGAAAGTCCTAAGGACTACATATCACTATACCCCTTTTATGGTGTTAAAATCTCAAATAAAAATAAACTTTTTAAGAATACACGTATATAAAACTATAAAAGAGAGCGAGGAACACAGGATTTTGAATTATAGTTACTAAAATAAAGGAGGCATGGAAATGGATTGAGGATGACCATATAGTCAGATGGAAGATATATCAAGGTCCCAGCTTTGGTTTAGAGTAGTGGGTTTATCGTAATAATGAATGAAGTCCTTACACATCTACCTTTCAATCTTGCTTTCTACTTCATAGATAAAATAAAGGTCATGGGTGACTAATTCCTTCAGATGCATACTTTCTTTCACCTCTTAATTATCTTATGTAAGAAGTATCTTTTTCTTTGGCCTTTTGTTTGAGAGAAATAGGTGCTGCTTCCCCATTTAGGTTGACTTCTGCAATTATTACTGAGATGTAACTTTCTCTTCTTCACTGCTTGCTCTTTGCTCCTTCACTGACATGCTCTTCTTCTTGTGTCTTTAGCTTTCTTGTGATCCTCTGATTCACTTTCCAAATATGATCAAGATTTCCCTGTTCAAGGAAATAATC